ATTTAAAAGATGTGTAGATATTGTGCTTAGGAGCATGATTTAGTAGTGTTCTAGGTGGTGTTAGGCTAATGGATGGACTCATTAATCTTGGTTTGAGTTTATTTTGGTTTTTGGTTTGTTTTTTTTTTTTCCCCACCCTAAATGTTTCTAAGAAATATTTCTGCCTTTATCTTTGTGTAGGCTCTGGGCTGTATCCTTTACTTGCTGTGCTTTAGGCAACATCCTTTTGAAGATGGAGCTAAACTTCGCATAGTCAATGGAAAATATGTCATTCCACAAAACGATACTCGCTATTCTGTGTTTCATGATCTCATTCGTAAGTTTACAATGTTATTTAATTTGGTATCTTTATGGATACATTTCATTGACAGTGTTGTACCTACTGACAGTTAAGTATTATTGACATGCTAGTGAAAAAGGCTAACTTACACCACCTTCTTGGGTTTTTTTAAATTCAAATTATTATCAAAAAAACTTCAAAATTTTAAATGAAACTTTTAGGTTCATAGTGCTGTTGCCTGTCTTACTTAGGAACTGAATTAGTCCATAAGAACAGCTGATGTTTTGACATGATTTCGAGTTTGCTTTAGAAATTGTTTTATTTAAATTTCAGGTACATCAATGGAAGCTTTAAATATTGTGCCAGAAATGTTTCAAACCTCAACAATATTAAATATGAAGTTGCTTCTGAGGTTACTCATTAAGAATGCTTCAAAGAGTAAACTTTAGGATCAGTTAACTGTAAATGATGTGTTTTCATGGATACCTGTTATGACAATGATATTTAGATACAGATTTACCAGTCACTCCACTCTGTGCTTGATTGCTTATTACACTGGAGTACACTGAATAAATTATTATCTTCTGGGAGAAAAGCTCTGATATGTTCCTGTTACACTTTCTGCATCTCCTTTTTTAGGCTCCACTTTGAAGGTGAACCCGGAGGAGAGACTGTCGATCACTGAACTTGTTAATCAACTGCAGGAGATTGCTGCAGCTAGGAATGTAAATCCTAAATCCCCCATCACAGAGGTAAAGATGTCACATAAGAAGTATTATTGATTATATCTCCTTTCTCTCCACTCCTATCCACTGAGTGTGAGATTAGTAACAGATGTCAAAGCAGGTCCCCTGTTCCTTAGTCTTTTGAAAATTTCACACTCATTTGTTGTAAACTTCAATTGAATGGGTCTATAAGAGTTGTAGTGCCTTTGAAAATAGGCCTTTTCAAGCACTGAGCTCGCATGACATTGAAGGAAGCTAGCTGTAGTTCTTACTGCTTGGTGAAAGTCTCTTCATGGTCTTGGGTCATTCTTTAGTATGCAGGTGCTCTCTTTGACATGTTGTGTTTAATCATAATTAACTTGCACAGAAAAATCTAGTATGTGAAGGTTCTGACTACACTTACTTGAAATCCACTTAAGTGTCTTCTGTTCCACACTTAATTTACACAATACTGCAAGTTAATCAATTAGCGTATCTTAACTTTCTGACTTTTTCCTGAGGTTCAGCTTGCTTGTTCTCCCCAAGTAAAAGTAATTTACAGAGCATAACAAGTTGTCTGAATTGGCAAGAAAATACTCATAGTGAGTATTAATCTCCTTAGCTCCTGGAACAAAATGGAGGCTATGGAAACAATGCTCAGCCTCGAACATCTGTGACCTCTGTTACACAGAGCTCCAAGCCTGTGGGACAGCTCAACAATATGTACAATGCAGGTAAGTGCAGAAAAAGAATCTTAGTGTAAAACCAATCGTGTGTCTTCTATGTGACAAAACCCCCAAACATTTGGGGGTTTTGGATATCTTGCACAAGTACTAGGTATTTTGTGTTTATATTGCTGGTTTTAATCTTGTTTTATTTTTCACAGTGCTTGGTTTTATGTTGTTACTGCAAATGTGAATTTCCCAGTTCGTTGCTGGACAAGATGAAATTTCCTGTGTAAAATAATTGAAACTAAAATGCTGTGGGTGAGGGAGACTTTAAAAAAGTGAACTAGAACGTGATGAAAGTGGTGGATACAATAAGCAATAATGTTCTTAAGAGGTGTAGAGAAACTAATCTTCAGGTTATGACAAACAAATAAAAATGCCACATTTTAAACCCAAAGCTTTCTGATTCAATGAGTCAACACTATTTGAAAATATGTTATATAAAGAGGAGAGTTTAAGATGAGTTTAAACTTAAGCTGTTAAAAACCTTGTCGTAAGTACTGTATTTTAACTGAAACTTCGTTACTTTGTGGCAGAAGTTATTGAAATCAGTACATATCCTGAGTTTGTGCACAATATTGGATATTTGGTGTAAGAAAGTGACAGCTTTCTGCTTTCTAAGAGGAACTGCTTAGCATCAGATAGGTTACAACTGAAAAAGGTAACACGTATTCTGTATCTGTTGATACTTAATGCTAAAGCTGCTTGATGTCAGTTGAGGTAATCCAGTAAAGAAACACGGAAGCAATTGCAGGGATTTTGAGCGTAGACCACAGCAGTTCATTAATCCTAAGGAGTTATGGACCTAACATTTATTTTTACCCTGTGAAAAGCCTGTAGGAGGAAGAAACACAGTTCTGTAAGCATCTGGGGTCCACCTCTCCATCCTTCTTCCCACTCCACCCCCCAAAAGACTTTTGACACCCTGTCATAAATTGAAGTACATCTGTCAGTAATCATGATCTAAAGCTGTTTAGTTTTGTCACTTCCAAAAGACTCATGTCTGACCGCCTCAAAGGGAAAAACCAGCAGCCTAAACTCAGTTTATTGTCGATCTAGTAAGTGATTTCAGAAACAGCTGTAGCTGATACTACCTTTAGCCCAGGTAATTATGGGTGGATTGTGCAAGGAGGACTTCAGGAGATGGTTGCACTGCAAGACATCAGGGGTGAGGAAAAGTAGTTGTCGTTCCATCTGGGGGAAAACAGTAAGTAGCTGGACAAGTAGTACTAAATTGAGTAAAACGAAACATGTCTCCACAATGACACAATTAAAAGGTGACATACCAATTCTGTAAAAGTAGATACTCCAGAGTTCATTAATTTGAAAATATGTGCACTTAAAGAAAACGAGACTCATGATAGGCTTATTTACATTCAGTTACTTAATAAATGGGAATTTCTCTATCTTGTCTATCGTATGTGAATATAGAACACTTCAATTAATGCAGAAGATATCAAGAGTATATTTCAGTGTATTCGATTTTCCTCCCAGCTTGGTATTTCTTGCTTGAATTGCCAGTGAGACAAAGGGTATTAATGTTCCAGGGAGACTTCTAAAAATGTGTAATATTTATTGCAGTAATGTTATCTCTATATCAATTTCTGTGGGAGAATCCAGCTTCCTAATACAATTATAATCAAAACAGTGTCTGGCCATCTATTTTGTGAAAAAAATTAATACAATTCATTGTACACAATCATATTAATAGGGGTGTCGTGCTAGCTGGAATGTTGTGCTTAAAAAGTAACTTAATTATGCTAGCAGCTTTTGAAGCCCTGCACCGAAATGTTGCTAGTGGGGGTGCTTAAGCAAATTTGCTAATGATAAGATGTCCTTTAAGACACTGCTTATTTTGCTATACTGGCAATATGAAGTATTTTACTTTCAGAATTTTTTTTCCCGTGTCAATTGAACAGTGAATTGTACAATGTGTTAAGTAGTTTGCTAGTACTCCTGAATTCAGGAAGTACTATTTTTTGTGTATGTCATAGTTAAGGAGAACTTTAGACCTGTGAGCCTTAGAGCAAGGCGTAGCCTGTATGTGCATTCAGTTTCAGCTTTGTACGCAACCTGCTTTAGTATGGAGCCCATTCCAGGATGTGACTTAAAGTACAATTATTTTTATTCAACTACTCTAGGCCTGACCGTTGCGGAATGCGACCAGACTTATGGAGGGTTCTTTGATATTCTGAGGGGTGGAACAGAGCGATTTTTCACTAATATTAAGGATACATCTTCTAAAGTTATCCAGTCTGTGGCCAAGTGAGTAAAAAAAAAACCCAAAACAAAATAAAACCTTAAAATTGTGCTGGTAAGAGTTCTAAATGAAGAGTTAGGAGCATATTCCAGAAATGGTAAAATTCAACATACTTTTCCAAGTATGAGCTAGCTGGTAGCTAGCCCTGAGGTTTTAATGAATGATATTGATCCAGAAGTTACTTCAGCAGTCATATACTAGAAATGAGAATGTCAGGTCAAAAGCCTGTCCATAAGTACTACTTTCCCAAAAGATTCAGAAAGCTTGGGAGAGATGAACAGGTTGGGGCTGGAGCAGAGCATGGAGGTATAGAATAAGACTATCATGGTTCTGAGGAAATGAGTTGAATTATTAAATAGGGCCTTCCTAAATAAGAGAGGAAGAAAAGAAGATAGTATCATGAAAGGTACAAATAAAAGGAATGGAATTGAGAAGAAAAACTACAAGAAAATAGTTTGCGAGCTTTTCTGTCCAGTTTAGTTTTCAGGTGGAATCCGAAGCCCCCAAGGCAAAGCGAGGTCTGCACTGTTTGTCCCCTTTGCCTTGCATTACATGGAGTAATAATCTACTGTTTTGATATCTTTTCTCAGATACCTAGCGTGTGATTTATTTGTTTTTTCTAACCAGATTTTTCAGACCCATTTCAAATGTTTCTAGTAGCTCTGTATTATCAATATTAATCTGTATGATTTGTATGTTTTTAACTCACAATAAAATTTTATGCAGTGTAAAAGTTTTTTTTTAAATTCTAGGAAGAGCCCATTAAGTCTCTATTGATAACTGCGATTGAACTAGAGCGTCCTAAGAAAAACTGAACCTTGTCCTTCAGTGTAAATTTTGTGGCCCTTTCGTTGGGATACTGTGCTGTGGATTAAAGTCTGTTGATTGCAACATGTCTTCCTGTCACTGAGTGTGATTACACTGAGTGTAATAGTGGTCCTCTAAAATGTTTGTAATGATCAGATAAGTTAGATCTGTAGACCTCTCTAGCCACTTCAAGTGCGTTCTTAGCTGTCTCCTCTTGTACTTAGCCTGTTCTAAATTTCCTATGCATGGCTTAGGCCGGGTCCTCTGTTCCTTAAAAGTTGCAAAAGCTGTGCAACTTTGGTTTGCCCTTGAGGTTTCTACAGCAATTGGTGCAGTAATGTCAAACCTTTCACCCTGGGGAAAACAATCTGACTGAAGAGGGTGTAGGGAGATATACAAGGGGAGTGAACTGTTGCATGTTGAAAAGCCATGATCTGTTAGCAGCTTAGCAGAGCTGTATGAATTCCGTGTATGAAGTAACATGATGAGCTACAACTTTTAAGCATTTTATTTCTTTGGCATGTACTGTCTTGCAGGCCTCTGTTCTTTATCTCCTTGTAGCTGCTACCTTCTGTGGAAATGATCTTCTCCCCTCTTCAGTCCTACCTCTGTTCCTTTTGTGGTATCTTGTTAAACAAAATTTACTCTGTGATAAAACATGGAAATATTCTGCAGATTCATTGCCTTTTGACAGCTCTACTATTTATAAACTTAAAGGTACTTAATTCCTTGTCTTAAATTCTGCTAGTTTTGCTTAGATTTAAGTTTTGCAGCAGAGAAATTACTTTCCTTCCTTTGTGACAGAAAATATTTAATTTCTTCTCTACCTTTGACAAAATTTTAAGCTCCCCCTCCCATGCCTGTTTTCCAGCATTAGATCTTACTCTGATACTATATTTTGATTGTACACTGCATGCTTCTTCAGTATTCCTGCACTTCACTTTCTCGTACTTGTCTCTGCATGACTTTCTGGACTGTTGTGCCTCTATCAGTCAGCTATGTTTGAAGAAGCTTCCTCTTCCTGCTCTTGCAAGCAATTTCTTCCTTTACGGTCGCTGGAATTTGAATTACTCTTTTGAATTTCATCTTAATGCCATTTTCCCCTTTTGTAGTAGTGGATTAGGATTGTCAAAACCTGACTTATTAATATGGAATGACTTATTCAGTGCCTGCCTGCACCTTGTTTTTTTCTCTCGTACCTAAGAGGTGTGTTTGTCTTTTTGCTCTATGTAATTTTCTTTGGTTCCATAGTAAGTGTAGTGTGCAAAGAATAAAACAGTAACTGTACATCCAGCCATATCTGAAGAGCTCATCTGGTAGCTTCTGGTGATGTATTTGTGAGTACTTCCTGTCTAAAAAGATGCTGTTTGGTTCACATATTTTTCTCTACAATTGTTTGCTTAGATCTAATTCAGAGACGTCCCTGCCCATGACAGGGAGGTTGGATTAGATGATCTTTAAGGTCCCTTCCAGCCTAGGCCAGTCTGTGATTCTACGATTATGGTGACTGCCCCAAATAAGTCTTTATCTTGTTCTTAGAGTTACTGTGCTACTTCTGAATAACTAGTTAGTGTTTTCTGGCTGAACTATGTATTTGGCACCTTAGTTAGGATCACTTTTTGATAAAAATGGAGAAGTATGATTGATAGTATGATTGAGGCTCAAGATTCAAAGCCTTATAGTGACAGGATCATTTATGCCTTCAATTTGCATGGAACTGTTGGAATCCTCTAAACTGCTTCAAACCATACCTGCCATCATTGTACCTTCTGGTAGTGTTTGAGCCTCTGTCAGGAATGTGAGTGCTGTTGGAGATGTCCTAGTGCATGCCTTTAACTTAGTATTGGTCAAAGTAAAGCTCATTTCTTTTTCATCTTATTTGTGTTAATTACTGAAAGTCATGTGGATATTTGCTAGAGCTGAAAGGCTTGTGAATGTAGTAGTTTGACCTGATTTTGGTTTGTAGCTCTAAATATCTTTAATATCCAGGTTGGATCAGTGAACCACAGGCCTTTATCAGCAGGTGAGGCACAGCACTTGAATGCGCTGTGGTGGATTGACAGGGTATCATCAGAGGGTATATGTCAAGTCTCAAGACTGATCATGAGGAAATCAGTCCCTTACAGACGGTTTGGACTAAGCTGGTCAGACAGCTTATATTTAGGTGACTTTTGCACATCACCTTTGACAGAGCATGTAAGACTGTCAGTTTTTTTGCTCAAGCTCTGCACTAACATGAACAAATGTTCATTTTGTGGAGAACCCTCTGTCTTTGTACAACTGTCTTTTTGTTTTCTTGTGTTACCTAGGTGAATTTAGTCATTGTGTTGTGGAGTGAAAAAAGAGGAGGGAATATGCACCAAGTATATAATTATGCTAGTGAGAACCAGTTACTTCCATTCTTATTTTCCAGGTAATGTTCAACCAATACTGAAAGAGGAGCTCTACTTGTAATTTACCAATATTCTCTACTGGCCCTTAGTTCCTTGACAAGTCTGTTGTGTGTTTTGAATCTTAGCTGTATTTAACAGTCCAGTGAAATGGCAAAACGTGAATTAATGCGAGCAGATAACATGAATTCATGTTATGCAGGACTTAAGGTAGTTTCAGGTTCTTCAAGCATTTCAGATTCTCAGCAGCACAGTGAATGTTCAATGCTGAGAATCTCACCACTGGGCTTGTGCATTCCTCAACTATTTATGCTTTAACCGAGCTGAAGTGTTAATTCTTTGTTTGCATCCACTGTAGGACATTTGTTATGATGGTCATTCTCTACACCTACAAACTTGTGTAGTGGCTACAGCTGATACCATCAGGGATGTGAGAATACTTCTTCTACTGTTGCATTCTTGACTACCTTTCCAAAACTCTGCAACCAGCATGAGAAGCAGACATTCTGGACAAACTAAAATACCATTTTATTGTTGTGCATTTTCCTCTCAACACTTAAACACTCCTCATGCTGGAGTCTTATCATCTCATTAGTTAGGCTTTCTCCTCCCTACTTCTGATGGCTTTTCTCAATTGTGGATTATTTCCTCTATCTGCAGACAGACTTCTTGCTCATTGAATCCAAACTACAGTGGAAGAGTTAGTGTTTTGTAGTTGCTACAAAAATGTTAATTTTTTACTTCTGTCCTGTAGCTGCCTTTGTCTTAATTTGAGTTTTGGTGTCTTGTTTATCCTGATAAGGTATAAGGCCTGAAAACTAGAATGCATGTCATGGTCTATAAGGAATAGTAGGGTGAATTAGGGTCCTCTTGATTGTCCCCAGGCAGGTGTCACATTAATCCTCTGCAGACTCAGGTCAGGCAGAAGCAGTTTGTAACTACATGAGAGAAAACCTAGAGCAACAGTGTTTTAGTCCTCTGTTGATATAAACTGACCTGAATGAAAGTACCAGGGTGTATAGACACTCAGAGCACATATGCCACTCTGAAGGGGCCGGAGGGCCTGATATGACAAAACAGTGTCTGCAGAAAAGGGAACTTTATTCCAGTGGAAGTACTCATCTGTGCCTCATAACTCGGTTGCAGCTGTGAGGCCTCAAATACCTCTGCTGAGCTTGTCCAACTCTGTCTTATGACAGTGCTGTCTGTGCCCTTGACCAGCTTTTATGCTTCTTGAGGTCTGCATTCATACAGTTACAGATGCCCTGCTGAAAAACATGTCTAAATGTTTTAAGTATCCGGTCTTCACTGCTGTTGAAAGCAGCATGCAAAACTTTCAGTCAACCTTGTTTTGCTTGTCAGAAGAGTCTCCTTCACTGAAGAGATTATAATCTAGTAATCTAGGAAACAATTAGCTGCCTTTTATTGCTAGCTTTCTTTGCTTCTAAGGTAATTGTTTCTGATTTGATGCTGCGCTAATGTTTTATTTCACAGATCTTTGTATTGTATTAGGTAGTTGAATGACTAAGTTCTATGAAGCAAAACAAAGTGGAAATGGATTGATGTGAATTTGAGTGCTGCATTTCTTCCTGTCTTTTAAAAACATAAACTGCAAAAATAGTGATTAGTAAATGAATAGATGTTTTTCTACTCTTGTGAGTGTAGGAGTGTCTAGAGGAAGATTGCTTAGTGTTAGAGCATTACTTAAGATAATGGTTTGTGTGCTTATATTGTGGCTGTGCTGGTTAGTCAGTCTTTATTCTTTCTATAGAAACACAAGGTAACTATGCATTGTAGAATTCTGTGCTGTAAGTCAGCTAGTTTATTTTGTGAATTTAATAGTTAATTTAAATCTAATTATTTTAAAATTAATTTGCTGGAATTATCTTTTGTTTAATAATAGGGATGGTCTTTACAGCTGGTACCTGGAAAGACTGATGATGCCAACTGTTTAAACAGTGTTAAGTTTTTAACATCCAATTGACTTTTGACTTTGTATCTATTTGTTGCGTTTCCTACTAGACTTCTTACTAAACAGCCTTGAAGCCGCCTAGTATCATCAGAAAAATTACTAACTTTTATTGTCATAACATACTTTCTTGTTAAGCGTTATTAGACCTTTGAAAAGCACACAGTTTTCCATACAGATCACAAGTAAAAAACCCTCTGTGCAGTCTTCTAATTTGTTTCTATGTTCTCCTACTATTATCACCTGCCAGCAACATTGCTATTAACAACATGAAAGGATTGACCTTATTCCTGATTTTTGTTTATAGGTTTATATCTTTAAATGTGTAGGAATGCTTGCCATTGTGGAGAGTAAGCATTTTTTTACCTTCCTGCCATTTAAAGCACCCCCAGTTACAGTCTGACATGAAACACTACACTTAAAAGTACTTTGTTTTCAAGTCTTACTGCTGAAATAGGTCTTCGGGATGAAGCTCAAGGAGTAGTAACTCAAGGACAAGGTCACATGTTTTAGGAGACTTGTGTAGCAGTTTAGCAGCTACATTTTAATTAATACAGCACAAACATCATGAGCTTTTTCAGTTGTAACAGGCATGCAGGTGTTTTTTTTTCCCTCTAAAACAACGTGCTTGAGTTGACTGTGCTCTGTTGACATACTAAGCTGTACTTTTTGAGCAGTTTGTGTATGGTAAGACTCATGCTTCACAGAATCACAGGATGTTTGGTGTTGGAAGGGACCTTGAAAGATCTCGTCGAACCCCTCTGCCAGAGCAGGATCACCTACAGTAGGTCACACAGGAACATATCCAGGTGGGTTTTGAATATCTCCGGAGAAGGAGACTCCACAACCTCCCTGGGCAGCCTGTTCCAGTGCTCTGTCAGCCTCACAGTGAAAAAGTTTTTCCTAATGTTTTTGTGGAACCTCCTATGTTCCAGCTTCTATCCATTGCCCCTTGTCCTGTCATTGGACATCACTGAGAAGAGCCCGACTCCGTCCTCCTGACACTCGCCCTTTACATATTTATACACATTAACGAGGTCAGGCCTCAGTCTCCTCCAAGCTGAAGAGACCCAGCTCCTTCAGCCTTTCCTCTTAAGGGAGATGTTCCATCCCTCCATCATCCCTGGGGCTGCGCTGGACTCTCTCCAGCAGTTCCCTGTCTCTCTTGAGCTGAGGGGCCCAGAACTGGACACAGTAGTCCAGATGTGGCCTCACCAGGGCAGAGCAGAGGGGCAGGAGGACCCTTCTTGACCTACTCGCTACTCCCCTTCTAATACACCCCAGGATGCCATTGGCCTTCTTGCAATTTTAAAAATGTTATGTCCACTCAGATTCACCTATCCTCTTTGTGGTTAGCCATGCTTAAGTGTTAAATTACATTTCCCCACCCTGGTACTGAATTCTCAGGCAAGGTAAGGGTTAAACCATTAATCCACTCACTCAATGCTTCTCTTAATGTTGCATTTTAGACAAATGTAAAAAGCGAAGCTGAATTGATTATTGTTGCCAGTAAGTCAATATCTGAAAATGTTCTCAAAGGAATATGAAGAATGTTGTGGTTTTGCTCTTAACAGTTGTGTGCTGCTGTTTCAAATTGCTGCCTAACCTCAGTAACAAAGAGATAATGGTTCTTTATTCTCAGGCTGTAGTATTAGGTGGTTGGTTACCTTGCTGTCAAAAAAAAAGTTGCTATCGTTAGAATTATCTGCATGTTTTCTTGCTTGAAGCTGGTGGTTATAAGCAACAATTAACATTTAACACTTCCCAGTTATGTAAAGGACTATGCTCGTAATTGATTTTAGTAAATACTACTGGCCTTCTTGGCCCCAAAGTATCCTGGGATGTGTTGAGTGTGGCCAGTAGGTTGAAGAAGGTCATCCTCCCCCTCCATGCTGCCCTAGTGAGGTCACATCTGGAGTATTGTGTACTGTTCTGGGTTCCCCAGTTCAATAGAGATGGGCAGCTACTGGAGAGAGTCCAGCAGTGGGCAACGAAGATGACTGGGGGACTGGAGCATCTATCTCTTGAGGAAAGGTTGAGAATGCTGGAACTCTTTAGCCTGGAGAAGACTGAGAGGAGACCACGTCAGTGTCTATAGATATGTAAAGAGTGGGTGTAAGGAAGGTGGAGAATAGATTCCTTTCAGGAGTGCCCAGTGACAAGGACAAGGGGCAGTTGGCTTAAGCTGGAACACAGGAAGTTCCATCTAAACATATAGAAAAACTTCTTTACTGTGAAGGTGACAAAGCACTGGAACAAGCTGCCTAAAGGGGATGTGGAGGCTCTGGAGATATTCAAAACCTACCTGGACGCAATCCCCTATAATGTGTGCTAGATCATCCTGCTTTAGTTGGGGGGCTGGATATTTGAAGGTCCCTTCCAACTCTGACTCTTTCTGTGATACTGTGAAACAATGATTAGCTCTGATTGTAAATGTCTGCCTTAATTAGTTTGGCTGCAGCAGTGTTACCACTTGAGCTGCATGATGAAGTTATGTCCTTTCAAAGGTGAAAAGATTTTTGAAATAATGTTTACATGGCCATTTTGTTTACCTCCTTATGCAGGCTTTTTCAAGGCTTTGTTTTTTAGTGCTTTGTCTAGTGAGATGCTCAGACATCCTTGTTGTGGTTTCAAGTTCTCTTGAGACCGTGTGTCATTACAGGTGTTAAGGCACTGATTGTGCCATTCTGCATAAATACTGTGTAATGTGCTTGCTTTCAGAGCAGTTCTTTCCTTACCAAAAATCCTCCTCCCTGTCCTTGTAAATTCAATAATCTTTTTATCAACCCCTCCAGCCCTCCTCCCTGTTTACTAGCAAGCAGTAAGGATCAAAGCATAATGTTTTCTCTTGATGTTTCAGAATTTTAGTATAGTATCCTAGGTCTGCTCTTTCAAGCAGTGTCTTAAAACTTTAGAGTGATATGAAAGTATTGCTTTGATAGTGCCTCTGCATTACTTAAACATACATCATAGTATTGTGAAGGCATTTTGATATTCTGGAGATATGCTACTGGCTTTAAGTTAGGGATGTCTAAACCAAATTCAGTAGGTGAGGTTTGTTGTTATTTTTCCAACCAGGAATGCAGACCTATGTGATTATGCTAAAGGTTGTTGACCTGCACTGGGGCTCTTTAGTCTTTTTCTTGAGCTCTTTCATCCTGCTACACAGCAGATACCTTAGAAAAAAAAAACAACCCACTGATCTGAAAAAAATTATTGGCATAATGTGGATGATTAAGTAGGTATTTGGAGAATGGACATAAATGCAAAAAGAAATCACTGGGAGATTGTTTTTCAAAAAGGTTCCTTTTTAAAGCAGTGCACAAATATGAGAGAAAGAGATGAGTAATGATTAATACTTTACTCATTATGGGAGTTTGGAGAAATCATTTAAAAGAAGAGATTCGCATACCCTCAGTTCATGTAGAATAAAGAAATTGAGCAGCGTGATCATCTGGGCCAGTTAGTAATATGACAGAATTATGTAATTAAAGATACATGTTTTAACAAATAGTCTGTTTTAAGCGTTATGATGTTTTTCATTAAAGGTGTTAATGCATCCTCATTAGGCTTTCAAATTGATATGTACGGTGAATGTTTATCAATAAGAGTAGAGGCTAAAGGAATGAGTTAAACATTGAAGGCATCCATACAAAAATCCCTAGAGATGGGTTTATTGCAACTGATGTAGATGAGTAACTGTTCAAATACAAGGTCAGTTCTGAAAACCTTGGTGTGATGTAATGAGCCTCAGATGGAAAAAATGAAACGTTATTCATGGTGGTGAATGTAGCTTGAGACCTGTTTTTTTAGATGTAGGACTTGAATAGCTCTATTTCCCAGTATTAACTCCAATGTGTTCTGTTTCAGTTATGCAAAAGGAGACTTGGATATATCATACATCACTTCCAGAATTGCTGGTATGATAGCTATGTCTGTCTTAAGAATAATTCCTGGTTGTTCTTAATATATGAAAAATGTGAGGTCTTAAACTGGTTGTGTTTGTCTCTTCAGTGATGTCCTTCCCAGCTGAAGGTGTAGAATCTGCCATCAAAAATAACATAGAAGATGTGCGGTTATATCTGGACTCTAAACATCCTGGCCACTATGCTGTATACAATCTTTCTCCAAGAACATACAGGCCCTCAAGATTCCATAATAGGGTGTGTATAGTTTTTACATATTTCTGTAAAAAGTTTTCCAACAGTGTCTTGATTACACCTTCAGCTTTTTGTTGTGAAGTATGTTAAAGTAGGCTACTTAATCAGAAAGATGACAAAAGAATAAGTAAAAAAAGGTCAAAGTGTAACCTATGTTCTGCTTGTCTTTGTTTTCAATCCAAACTTTGCTTGTTAAAGACAAATCTTTGATCTTACTTACTAAAATCTGTGTTTCCTAGGCTAGTGATGTTGTGAAACCCTGTACAGCTACCTTACATGTTTCAGGCTTGCATGGAGAATACTTAACGTAATTAAGAGTTGTACTAGAATTTCAATCTCTCCTACATTCAGAGGGTCATTTTTTATTGAAGATAATACTTCGGTGACTGATCCTGCACAACCTGTTTACTGTCTTCTTGTTCCCCTGCATGCTATTTATTTGCCATATGGCTCAGCTCTAGCTGTCTGCTTATTACTACTGCTTGAAGTATTGGTATAGCTTAGCCTGAGTCTCTGCTAGCGTATTTTTCTGATACTAAAATGAAAACTTTTGCCTAATTTGATAATAAGGTACTGAGGACAGCTCTTAGGAGCTAGTGGATAGTTCGGCTGTCCTGTAAGCTCAGTAGTGGAACTTACACAACAGTGTTACTCTTGTGAGTTGTCTAGCACTGGCCATGTTAGACCTCTCCTAAACAATCTGTAGTGATCATGTTCATTTCCCACTTCCCAGAGGACAGTCTAGAAACATTATTTGTTACAGCCGAACCCCTTTTAGGTCTTACCCTGCAGAGCCATCATTAGTATTACTTCAGTTATCCAGGTTCACTTAGATTGTCAGGCCAAAGTATGTTTAATATTCTGTCTAGTACTTGTGCCTTCCTTTGGTTTCCTTGTAAACTTGTAGACAAGACAAAGTGGTGTCACACTAAAAAGGATTACCCCCTATTTGGGTGGAAGCAGTCAACTTCACCTGCATATCTGGTTCAGTGTGAGGTTCAGACAGAGGCTGCTCAGCATGGAAGGCAAAGCTTAACCACACAGAAAGCCACCTGCCTGATCACTGGAGCAGGCATCTCAAAGCAAAATCTTCAGCAATGCTTTTTAGCACTAAATTGCTGGTAAGTCCACTGAAGCTGGCATAGTGAACTAATTTACTCATCGTCCTACAAAGCTATCAGTCTCTGTTTATGGAATTAGAAATACTGTGACTGAAATAGTTTATCCTGGGAATGATGTTTTGATTATGCAAGTCTCAGTTCCCTATACATTGGTATTCCTGATGTGTTTGTACTGTGAATGGTAGTATGAACACAACTAAATCTTACTGTGATCTGGAACTCTTCTGTTCCACGTTTGTCTTTTTGACATTTATTTTGTCTTTTTTGGGGGGAAGTGATAGTAGATTATAATTTGGCAAAATATTGTAGGATCCTCCTCACTTTATTGGCTAGGAGTATTTTGGAAGTTTCTACAAAATAGTGCCTTCTGTTTAAAAACAAAAAAAAGGCAGGTATTTTACTTGAGAAACAAACTCTTTAAATATATTGGTCAATTTTTTCCTGTCAGTCTTGGAAATCCAAATGCACAAAGACTGCTAGTGGTTGACTTACCAGCGCTGAATAATGAAGTTGAAGGCAGCCACATGGGAAGCTAGGGAAGCTTCGTTTTTTCTTAGTGTCTGCAAAAGATAATTATGATGAGCCTTAAACTATATCAAAGGAGAAGAGTTTCTGAAGTTCTTAATTTGTGAAATTATATAATCTTGCCTTCTTGCTATATGTTATCTGTATAGAACTCTTACAAATTTCTTTGACCTTGGTTAAAGTTGATGGAAGTTTTGAAGTATTCTCTACTACCTTTGAGTCCTACTTAAATAGGTTGTTCAGAGAGGTTGTGCACTCTCCATCATTCTGGTAATGATTAGATGACTTTGAGCTTAAAATAGATCCCAAGGAAAAGAAAGTAGTGTTGTATGGTATACTTCTTGTAAGAAAGCTAATGTTTAAGCAGAAAGTAAATGATAAATCAGAAAAAAAGTCGGTGCTTGCTTTTTTGAATATACCTGCTTTTCTAGGATGTTTTCTGGTTTTTAGCTGTAATGCTGCAGAATAATTCTTTCACTGCTCCTGTAATATTTGAGATGTAGTGAAAATTTTATCAAATCCTATCTTGAACAGGAATGTAAAGAGCTGCTTGCCTTAGCCTTTATTTGAACTTTATTTGTTCACTGATGACTTTATAAACATTTCACTAACAAAAGAAGATTGATTCCATTTTAATTTATTGCAGCATGATGCTTTCTGAAACTGCTCGCTTCTGAATAAAATACAGGCAAAAGCTGTAGGAGACTTCTTGGATGTCAGACCTTTTCAGCCTTTTTTCCTGAGTTTGGCACAAAAACGACCTCATTAAGTTGTTTGGGTTTTTTTGTCATACTCGGTTCAGGTAACTGATCTTGGAGTAACCCTTGAACTAAAACTATTTTTATGTGGGTAGGAAAACATGCTGCTGATAGGAAAACTTGGTCTTCCACATTAAGTGGTTGTGGTCTTGGCTAAAAAGAAATAGAAAAAGCTTGCTTTTGAAGTTGTATCCTTGGTCCTGATAGAACTTGTGCTCTTCAGGCGTTGTAAGCTCTCAGAGATCAGGTTTTCATACAATGTTTTCTTACTGGGCAGCTGATAATAAAAATGGAAGCTCTCAGCAGTGAAGTTTATTATTTGGTAGTTTCGTGGCACTAATTGCAGAGGGAGTATTACTCAACTGTTGAAGCTCTTTGAGTAAAGGACAAATGTAAAACCAAATTTAGTTCTTTTTGTGTGGTTTCATTTTGCTTAAGAATATATGTACAACTCAAGTTGAAAACTGTGTTACTTTATTCCCTGGTCTAAGAAAATTTCAAATAGTAATCTGAATTGTTGGTACTTCTAGTGCAGCCGACTGTAGACAGGACTTGAATTTTACTGCATTTTATGCTATAAAGTGATGCCTACACTATGTAAGACTATTTTTCTTCAGCATGTTGCTGAATTTCTACCTGAAGGGTGCATTAAGTGTTAAAATTGCATCTTCCATACATAGTTTATGCTATGTAAGTGTATGGGGCTATAATCTTTCTCTCCTCTCCCTTCCATTGCAGGTTTCTGAATGTGGCTGGCCAGCAAGACGAGCGCCAAATCTTCAGAATCTGTATAGCATATGCAAGAACATGCATTTGTGGCTGAAACAAGACCAGAAAAATGTTTGCATTGTGCACTGCCTTGTAAGATGAAAAAGAAATTGCTTTAAATCTGAAGTGCTTTGGTCAATCCAGCTTTGTATTGTGGATAAGGATGCTAATATCCTCTCAGTTTGTTGGTGTTACTGACTTTACTGCCTGGGGACACTTCCTTCCTTCTGTGTCTTTAGGAAAGTTATTTGCATAAATCTCATCCCTAGGCAAATTCATATGGGTAATGTAATCCTTGCTTGCGTGCAGGTAGCAGGGAAGACTGTGTAGAGGAGGGATTAAGGCAAAGTAGCCTTTAGGAGAAAGAATCTTCTTTGCTATTCTAGTATTTGCTTTATTTTTTGTTCATATTTTCTGAATGACAGCTGGGTTTACACTGCCTTTCCCACTGCTGTTCATTTAGATTGTAATCTCCATCTGCAGAATTGCAGAAACTGAGTATGAGACTTGTGGAACTTGCTTTTGCTGGCCGCAGGTGACTATAACTTCCACTGTTGTCTAATGTGTCATTAACTTTGATTATAACACAAAAAAGCAATAAAACTCTTGATCAAGAGCCACTTCATGTCTAACATGAGGTGAAAAATGAATTTGAAGAATGGTCACTATGCTCAAGATTTGAAAATGACATTATTGTTATGTTTACATAAGAGAATTGCATGTGAAATTTTGACATTCCTCTTTTCCTGTGCAGTGTAAAGAGAAACACAACACTAGTTACAATGCTTATGATGCTGCTGGAAAGTATTCAGAACCATCATTTGATATAGTTTAGTAGTCTATATGGAATATATCAGAGTCTAAAAGAGAATTTGTTAATGTGCCAAAGTTTTGCAAGGAAAAAAATCCGTTACTGCCAGCTCCTGAAAACCAGTGTGATTTTCAGTGCTGCTGTGGGGTTAGGAATCCAATTCTGTATTAAAGTGATACTTATCCATATCACATGATTGCTGGTCAAGTAGGTAAGAAGCAGATGTGATGAATAAGCACTATTTTTTTGTAACATCTTTCCCTTGAAGTGTTTCCTTTAAGGTACCTAAAACATTTCTCTTCCTTTGTGAGGGAAGTTAATACCTGGCTGTGTGCCAGATGTGAAAAGTGTATACCAGAACTACTAGAAAGGAATGGTAGTTGCAATATGTATCCTGGTTTTATCTAGCTGAAAAGTTTTGTAGATTTAAAAGCCAAGAAATCTGTGTTGAAAAGAATGCTTCATCTGGTGGAGATAGAGACTAAAAACATTCTACACTTGAATAACAAAGCATGAGTTGCTTCTTGTGAAGGTGAAACTGCCTCTGGGTGTCTGGGATTCACAACTGGGTAGGACTTCCTGATTTCTTGATCTTTACTTTAGAGTTTTGCAATAATGCACTGAACTGTTAAACTTTCATATTGTAATTTGAGTGATACAGTGGAGAACAAGGAGTTGAAAGTGTGGTTTAAATGGCAACTCCTTACTTCAGCTACAGTTAAGTCTTTCTGAACTGGCAGTGACTGGTTTTAACTGTCGTGAACTGGCATCCTGTTTTATTGATATGACAAGACGGTAGCACAAATACTAGAGGCTGGAGTAACTCCTGGACACCTGCAGTAACCCTTCATGTAATTGTTTGGGGGCCTGCAGTGAGGATGCAAGGTCATCCCTGAAAACTTGCACAGCTTTAATAAGGTGTGAGTGCGGAATCATCTTGGTGGAACTTAGCATCGAAGAGACTTGCAATGGGGTATGCTGCAGCTCTGTGTGCTTCCGACAGCTGCTTTTGACCTGGATTGAAATGAACCAGGTTAAGATAATTATACACACCCTAGGAAAAGTTATGTTTAATTTATGAAGGTTGTTTCTTTTCAAAATAGTTTAGACACAAACCTTTTCTAGTTTGAGACTTTAGGACAAAACTTATGCTCAAAATCTTGCTGTTTCCAACTGTTGCTTTTTATTGCTGCCTTAATTATTGTTTATGCCTGAGGATTGTTTATTTTTGTAGTCAAGAGCCATCCTCCTTGTGAAAACATACAAGGAAAAATTTAAATTCTTGCTCTCATCTCTATATGGGAGTGGTTTTTTTGCTCCTATTTTACTTCTTTCTGAAGTACAAGATTCTGTCATGAGATTTGCTTTCTAAGAAGATATTGTTTTGAATGCTGTATTTCTGGTTGTAAAGTGACCTTTAAAGTCTTATAAAGTTGACCTCTGACTTCATGCCACAGTGGCAAAAGTGTTTGCTGTGGATTGCTAGGTATGATGATATAATTTGGAAGTGGCTTTGTGATGCAAGTGAACGTAGGCCACTGCTTGTCATGCTGATCAGGGGTTTGTATTCATTACTGTTTTATCCAAATTGTAGGCATCTCGGGGTAGGGACCATGGTTTTGTTCCATCTGAGTGAGATTTAACTGAAAGGCAGAGTCCAGCCCATAGAATCATAGGCTAGCTTAGTGACTTCTGGAAATCACTGGGCTTGCTGTTTACGCGAGCAGCAATAATACTGATTTGCTGGAGTGCTCTTTAAGAATCTGGCTTGCAGTGGTGCTGGCGTACACTCTTTTCATTGTCGTCAGTAGTGGTTAGAATACAAGCTTGGCTTTGAATAAAATGTCTGTTAAAACAAGTTGAGGAAAAGCATTTCCTTCTTCACTACTTCCACACTTGTATGGCCAAGTGACTACCAAAAAAACCCCAAACCAGTTTGTATACTAGCAAAAAAAAAAGTGAGAGGTCCTGTTCTGTCAGCCATTGGCTTTTCTGAATCTTAAGTGTTTTGTCAGGTAGAGGTGAGTCTAGGATGCATGTGGTTGTGGTCTCTTTTACATAAAGAGGATCAGTGTTTTAATTTCTTGTATTATAATTCATTTTCCTTTAATCATAAAAGTCACTCTAATATATATCACTAAGTACCTAGTCTTAATTAATATTACTTATGCAATATAGAATCTCAGTTACAATTTATCAGTCATGCACAATTAATCTTGGTGATACCTCTTGTAACTAAGAAAGAGATCAGCCTAAGTTTACTATACTGGTTACTATACTGGGTTACAGCTTGCAGCCTAAGGCATCAGCAGTCTACCTACTGAGGTTAAGCAAGTTAGCTACTAATATTAACCAAAGCACGTGGTTTGAATAGTCAGGTGTAAAATTACTTTAGTTCCCAACAAGGTAGCAGCCAGGAATAAAACTTAAAAATGACTGCTAGTGATAGTAAGGTAGTAAATACAAACTGAAAATTTCAAATGGTGTTAAGCTAAAGCAATTACTACATATTACCTGCTTGCTCAAATGTGAATGTCTCGTCTTGTATGGAAATCAAACGTTTCATGTTCAGATACAGACTTGAAATCTGAAGGTGACACTAGCTTGAACTTCACTACATTAAATAAGGAGATAGTGTGGTTTTCAGTAACTTATGTAATACTTTTTTGACTAGGTTTAAAGTTACATTTTTAATTTTTTTTTGTAGGATGGAAGAGCAGCATCTGCTGTTGTAGTTTGTTCTTTTCTGTGTTTCTGTCGTCTCTTCACTACTGCTGAGGCTGCAGTTTATATGTTCAGTATGAAACGCTGTCCTCCTGGCATTTGGCCTTCTCATAAAAGGTATAGTATCAGAGTACTGTTGAAGCAAGTAGCTATGCAATTGTGAATATACTATTATTTTTGCAGGATGCTTTTTAGGAAGATAAAGTATTTTGATTGTGTGTGTGTTTGAACAGCATGTGTGTTTTAACAGCAAAATACTTGGAAAAACAGATGAGTAGAGAAGAAAGTTCTGAACTTTGTGAGCCTTTAAATTCTTACCAAAAGTGAGTAAAATAAGTGAAGAAATAATAGGAAGGAAAACGGGGCCATGTAGTGCTTTTGAATGCTCTTTTAAGTATGAAGTTCTTTTCCAAATATGTTAGACTTATTCTGAGTTTACTATATTACAGTAGATTTTCCTGTGTCAGAGCGCTGCAAGTTCTTTGGAAAGACCAATAATTATTTCTATCAGATGTTTTAAACTGACTATTTAATTGAATAGATCTTTTAACAAAGTTTCAGTACTAACTGGTAGTAAAGGTGTTTCATACAAAAAGGATTAGATTTAGAAAGGAGGAGTAAGAATTAGTGAAGTATAAATGTCAGATTATGGTGTTGTACAGATTTACTTTAAGTATGTTTAACAGGTACTCTACAAGAAAATTTATATTAATGAGGATAAAATTAAAGCCTTCAGGAAGCTTTGAGTTGCTAGCTTCAGAACTGCTACACAACTTTGTATTTTGTGTGAAAAACAAAATAAATGGTTCTCCTATTTGGGTGTTTTAATGCCTTTGGAAAG